CTTTGCAGATCCTTTGCCTCGACTGGCCTCGAGGCCTCGGTGCGTCGCCGCGCCCGGATCGTCGCCCAGACCTGCCGCCGGCGGTGTAATCCTCGGTCCGCGCGGCCTCCTCCGCGACTCCCCGACCCGCGGCGCGGCCAGCGACGATGGACAACATCCTCCTGCTCACGGACTCCTACAAGGTCAGCCACTGGAAGCAGTACCCGGCGAAGACGACGACGGTCTATAGCTACTTCGAGTCCCGCGGCGGCAAGTACGACGAGGTCGTCTTCTTCGGCCTCCAGTACTACGTCAAGAAGTACCTCGTCGGCGAGCAGGTCACGAAGGCGAAGATCGACGAGGCGGAGCGGTTCTACGGCGAGCACTTCCCGCCGGGCTTCGAGTTTAACCGCGCGGGCTGGGAGCACATCCTCGAGAAGCACGGCGGCCGGCTGCCGCTGCGCATCAAGGCCGCGCCCGAGGGCACGGTCGTCGGCGCGAAGAACGTGCTCATGACCGTCGAGAACACGGACCCGGCGTGCTTCTGGCTCACGAACTTTGTGGAGACGCTCCTGGTCCAGGTCTGGTACCCGATGACCGTGGCGACGCACTCGCGGGAGCAGAAGAAGGTCGTGGCCAAGTACTTGGATGTGACGGGCGACGTCGCCGGCCTGGGCTTCAAGCTCCACGACTTCGGGTTCCGCGGCGTGTCGTCCGTCGAGACCGCCGGCGTCGGGTCCTGCGCGCACCTCGTCAACTTCCTGGGCACGGACACGGTCGCGGGTCTCGTCGTGGCCAAGGACTACTACGGCGCCGAGTCCGCGGCGGGGTTCAGCATCCCCGCGTCGGAGCACTCGACGATCACGTCGTGGGGCGAGAGCCGGGAAGTCGACGCGATGCGGAACATGCTCGAGGTCTACCCGGCGGGCCTCGTGGCCTGCGTCTCCGACTCCTACGACATCTTCAAGGCCTGCGGCGACCTGTGGGGCACGCAGCTCAAGGACGCGGTGCTCGCGCGCGACGGGTGCCTCGTCGTCCGGCCCGACTCGGGCGACCCGCCGTCGACGGCGATGCGCGTGCTGACCATCCTCGGCGACAAGTTCGGCAAGGAGAAGAACGACAAGGGCTACTGGGTCCTCGACAGCCACGTGCGCGTCATCTGGGGCGACGGCATCGACTACGAGATGATCTGCGCCGTGCTGTCGACGCTCGCGGACGCGGGCTGGTCCGCGGACAACATCGGCTTCGGCTCCGGCGGCGGCCTGCTCCAGAAGCTGAACCGCGACACGCAGAAGTGCGCCTTCAAGTGCTCGTCCATCGTCGTCGACGGCGCGGCGCGCGACGTCTTCAAGGACCCCGTCACGGACAAGGGCAAGGCGTCGAAGAAGGGGCGCCTCGCGCTCGTGGACGTCGACGGGACGCTGACGACGAAGACGCAGTGCGCGCCGGGGCCCGTCGAGGGCGACGTGCTCGCGACCGTCTTCGAGGACGGCGCGCTCCTCGTCGACGACACGCTCGAGACCGTCCGCGAGCGCGCGGCGCTGCCGCCGCTGGACACGTTGCCGCTGCCCCGCGGCAAGAGCGCCGCGCCGCCGCCGCCGTTGAAGAAGCCCGAGGTCCTCGCCGCGTGCCCGACGCTCGGCGGCATGCTCGGCTTCTAGGCGCGCGCGCCGGAGGCCGACCCCCTTTCTCGAGTCTCGCTTAGCACCGCATCTGCGCCTCGGGGACGCTGACGTCGAAGAAGCCGTCGACCTTGGTGATGCGCAGGTCGCCGTCGAAGGCGAAGGTGTCGACGCCGGCGAAGTCCAGCGCGCAGCCGCGGTCCCGCGTCACGGAGCCGCAGTGCCACGCGGCCGCGGCGCCGTCGCCGGAGAAGAGCGGGTAGACGGCCGTCGCGCGGAGGTCGACCTCGGAGAACGTCGCGTTGGACGATTCGCAGGCTCGCTCGAGGGCGCTCTTGGACGTCACCGCCGGCGTCCCGTGGGGGTCAGTGACCTCGAAGGCGTCGGCGAAGAGGTCGACGAACGCGGCGCAGGCGCCCTGCGACTGGAGCTCGAAGTAGGACTTGACGACGACCTCGACGGCGCCGTTCGGCGCCGCGTGGAGTGAAGTGGCGACAATGGCTGCTAGGAGCGCATAGCTGAGCAGCCCCATGCTTCTCGGGAGTTTCCCCTCAATGTTGCACGGCAATGAAATCAGGTTGAAGCTCTCGAGCTCTGATGGCCGCCTTAAAAGGCAGCCCGTAGTCGCGCCGTGCGACATGTCCGTGTCCGTCGACGTGACCCAGAGCTTCACGTGCGACGTGCACGCGCTCTGGAAGCTCATCGGCAGCTTCTATGACTTGAAATGGACGGGGGACGATCCCTGGGAGTTCGACGGCATCTACCGCACGCTTCCCGAGCACGGCATGAAGGAGCAGCTGGTCTACAAAGGGGAGGCGTGCTACACCTACAAGATGGTCGAGGGGCCGTTCAAGAACTT